GTATATGTATATTTATACATATATATATATATATATATACAAACATTCGTACATACAAACATACATGCATACATACATGCATGTGTGCATACATACATACATACATACATAAATACATACATACATATATACATACATACATACACACATACATACATACATCCATACATACCTTCATACATACATTCATACATACATACATACATACATACATACATTGACAACGGAGGGATACAGTATATACAGATCATACAACATTTTTATCATTGTAGTGAGCGGTAGTAAGCAAAAACAAACCAGGTTTGTCATAACCTCCAAAAAGAGAACAAGAAGGCTATGGTTTGGCTTTATTTTAGGTGGCTTATTATTTCTTGCTTTGCACCAATCAAAATGAATTGGGCTATATCTATTAGTCTGTCATGGGCTGAGTGTTGGAAAGAAGCGAAAACGTTTGTTTCTAAACGTCTTAAACCACATCCTTAACCTCCCCGGCGAATTGGCAATACAATACAATACAATACAGTTATTCTGACATATCCAGGTAGTTCTGCATGCGTTGTTGATACTCAAATATGGGCAACTCCGGCGGCTTGTGAGTGGCCCTGCTCACTTCCTTATATTCGTCCATGATCTTATCGAACTCCTGCGGATAGACAATAAACGGATAAATACATATATGTGAGCAATACAGCTAAACCCTAAAGCCATAATACCAAGTAAACATAGGCACAACATATAAATACATGTATGTGAGAAACACAGCCAAACCCTAAAGCTATAATACCAAGTGAATAGGGGCATAACATATAAATACATATATGTGAGCAATACAGCTAAACCCTAAAGCCATAATAATAAGTAAACAGGGGCACAACATATAATTACATATATGTGAGCAATACAGGCAAACCCTAAAGCCATAATACCAATAGAGAAAGATCTGACCGCAGGCAAAAAGGGTGTCAGGTACTACCAATACAAAGCAGCTGATCTGTACACATCAACACATGCGTACAAGCAACGTGAAAGGGTCACAACTAGGTATGCAAACCAAGCACACGTGAGCGTGCCACTCAGACAAGTACGTGCCTGTATGAAGCTTTAACACCACAAGGACCGGCTAATCTGACATTGACACAAGACATACCGGAAGAGCGTACTGTATATAGACCAGTAACTCATCGGAGAAGGTTTCGAATTGATAGCCCCTTGCTCTGTGGGGTGGTGAGCATTGCACACAATTATCAGCGGATATCGGGGGTTGGTGTATTGCTTCATGGGAACCAGACAGCACAAGGGTTAACGCGTTCTATGGCGGGAGAGGCCCAGATGCCCGCATTAACTCGGGTGTTGAGCCGAAAGTCTGGTTCTTATGATTTATAGACGTTAACGCGTTCTTTGATGGGAGATGCGCAGATGCCCGCACTAACTCAGGTGTTGAGCCGAAAGTCTGGTTCTTATGATTTATAGACGTTAACGCGTACTTTGATGGGAGCTGCGTAGATGCCCGCACTAACTCAGGTGTTGAGCCGACAATCGGCTTAAATAATTTATAGATGTGGACTACGGGTATGTTCTTATTCAAGTCTCTCTCTGTGTGTGTGCACGGTCACAAGTCTTCCCGTCCACAAATAATAGCCCAGAGCACATGTAGTCTACCATGGACACTCACGTGAACTCTCAATTGAGGAAGTGACATAGGCCGAACACAAACACACACACACACACACACACCCGCACATACGCATACACAACACATACACAACACACCCACCAACATACACACACACACACGCACCACACACACACACACA